GTTTGCCATTCTACCAGTACTTTTTGTTAGATGTAGTTTTGTTTTTATTGGTTGTTGTAGTACTGGTTGTGTACATCTTAATRGGGTTTTGTAAGTGTTTGAAGAAGATTTGTTCTAAAGCAGATAAAGAAAAAATTCAATAATGTATACTTCCCAAATTCTTGAGGGGAGGGGGGGGGGGTCAGAGAAAGAACAAAATTACAGACTTCGTATGGATGAAAATTGGAAGTTCCTGGGGATGGTGGCGACGTCCTTTTCAGATTCCCACAGTGGTGGGGTATGGATATTTTCATGAACTACACAATACTAGCAGGCTAGGCTGATGAAATCTCTGGGCTGATGAAAGTCAACCAACTCACAGACTGAATATTGTAACTTAGCGTATGGTAAATTTTACGGAGTTAGGAAAACCAGAGACCCAGACTGAAAAACCCTCAAATTTAGGAAGAGACTAGGTTTGATTTCCAGCCGTGGTAGTTAATAAACATAGGCCAGCACAGGAGACAAGCGATAACACAGGAAACCCAACATGACCCTGGTAAGCCTCACCTGTGATATCCGGGGGATACTCTTGCCCCTTAAAGGTAGGGATGTGCTGCTGAGCCCTCTGAACCCTGACCCTGTTCCAGAGTAAAATCGCTGAAATTCATACCCTGTTCCAGAGCAAGATCGCTGAAAACCATAACCTTTTCCGGTAGTGTGAAAATAGATACCCTGTTTCAGAGAGGAGCGAGTGTGATTTCATATACCCATCTCAGAGCGAGCTCRATTTTATATACCCTGTTCCAGAGTAAAATCACTGAAAACCTTACCCTGTTTGGCGGCACGTACAACCAAAAGGATATACACTAGCTGATAATAATGAGTTAAATAAATACAATTTAATGATTGGCTCTAAATATGTTATTTTATTAACACTTTGAGATCTGATCTACATTGATGATAAATATCTTGAATGTACAGTCTTCACCCCATTTAATGCTAAAAAAAGTTTGATTTGATTCTTATTAAGTAGTATGTTACAGATTAAATAATACTGTGGACATTAATTAGCTCGTTGTCAGAATGGGTGAATATTGCAGTGAATATAATAAGAAATATTTTGCACATATTTGCAAAATTGATAAGTTTCTAATTGAAATGATAAGAGAACCTTAATTTAAGTATAGAGTGTTCTTGTACTGTTGGTTGGTATCATAACGCTCAGCAATTACATTCTTCTTCAAGGTATTTTAATATGGAAATAAAAAGTAGTTTTGAATAAGACCAGTCTAGTTTGTGAACATATTTGTATTTATAATCATTATCCATCATCATCATACTTAATGCATCTTCACTACCATAGCCCAAGAAAACAGACATCCTCTCGATTCCCCATCCTCCCCCCCAAATAACTTTCACAAAGGGTTGGGGGAGCAAAAGGGCATCTGTTTTCTCAAGCTTCCATTGTCACCATCATAATTAATCTTCCTCCACAATACAATACTAAATTTATTTCGTACTAAATAGTTTCAATTGGGCTGGCTCATACTTATTTCACAATAAATTGTAATTCAATACCTTTGAGTTTTAGGCTTAGGTCAGTTAAAATTCAAAATATCTAAAGAAGTGGTTTTGTGCACTTCACTGCAGCTGAAAACCTTGGCTCCAGTTTTTTTGATTCATGCTTATACAATGATAGCAAGATGACAAAACAATGAACCTGGATTTGAAAAAAAAACTTAAAAAAAAACCTTAAATAAAAAAAGCTAAAAAAAACAAAAAAAAAAAGGAAAAAAACAACCAGAAAGATAAAAAGAACACTAAGATTGTTTAACATTATATTGGTGTTGAAGCAAAGATCAAAATTAATCCAGAATTATCATATAGACTTTTGAAGTGCGACATTCATATGAAAGACAATTTCTGGGTTCAAAGCCAAACAGATTTTTTAATAATTAAATATTTTACTTTCAATCTCCTTAATGGTTGGAGTTGTTGTTGAAAAGTTTGTTTGCGCCAGGTCACATGTTTGGGTCAATTTTGGGTTACATGTTTGGTTTTCATGAGCATCTGGATGATTAAACGGTAACTACCTAAATGATCTATTGCTCATTTCTCAATATAATCCTATCTATTTTACTTTTATAATAATTTGGAAAATGATCAGATACACCTACTTGCAAGAACGTTGACATACGAAAATAAAACAGTGATTTAGTGGGATAGGAATCATATTAAAAAACAAAAGAAGATCACTGAAGCTGAACTTTTTCTTTTGTCTTTTAATGTATTCCTTTCTCACTAAATTGCTGTTCTAATATCGTATGACAACGTTCTTACAAGTAAGTGTATGCCTTGTATCTGTACAACAAGTTGGATGACTGAAAGAAAAAAATGGAAATTAAAGCAGGAGTGAGATGAAATGGATAGAAAATTAATGAACAATTCTTAGGCGAGTCTTGTATTGTTTCCCATTTCCGCCCAGTGGTCAATGCTTGGGTATTATTCCTTTGTTTAACGACTGCACATGAGAAGGCACATGAATTTGGATGAAACTCAAAAGAATCTTATTCTCAAGGAAATATAAACGTGGTTGGAAACGGAAAAACAGTGTTTAGGTCTACTTCTGTGGCCTTCATTCATAACCCAATTGTGGTTGACTACTTCATGCTGACTAAGTGTGAAAACAAATGTCTTGGTTATTAGATAACACCTTTTTATGGGCTTGTTGGAATTTTCTTGGTGATTGATTTTATACAATATTTGGCACGGTCTGAACTGTCAAAAACAGGATCAAACGAACATGAAATATCCTTCTAAACTAGACAACGAGAAGAAGATTGAAGCAACTACAATGTAGATGTGTTTTCCTTATTCATGATATCACTTCCTGGAAAATTGAATAGATTTTTATCAGAGAATGAAGCTTTTGTCAAGTATTTCAAAACTAATTATGAAACAAGGATATTATGACCAGAGAAGATAAGAAAAGCTACTGATCATTCTTTATCAATATGTGTGGTTTAGACAACAATAGCTCATGGTCTCACCTACAAATAAGACAGTGAAATTTTCAATGATAAAATTTTATCAAGAAATCTGTGCTAGGAAGCAACAACAATGAGGAGTAGGATAAAGAAAAATAATGTGACTGGATTTTAAAAGGATTTTTTAAATTATCCAAAAATAAAGATAAAAAATTGGGAAATTTAAAACAACATGCACAATGAAGTCTTTAGCAACAGACAGATGACAGCTAGGCTGAAAAATAGGTGTTGTTTAGCAGTAAAAAAGTCATTAGCAGCAAGGAACTAAATATAGAAAGAAATGGTTTGGGTAGTTGTGAAAACAAATATGAAGCAATTTTCGATATGCATATTTACTACAAAAAGAAAAAAGGAAAGAAAGAAAGAATGAATGAAAGAAAGAGAGAAAGAAAGAAAGAAAGAGAGAAAGA